CACACACACACACACACAAACTCAACACACACACACACACACACACAACACACACAAACACACAACTCAACAACACACCACACACACACACACACACACACAACACACACACATCATACACACAACACACACACACACACACACACCACTATCAACACCATCACCACGCACACACACACACACACACACACACCCATACACACACACACACACACACACACACACACACACACACACCACACACACACACACACACACTCTAACAACAGCCTATGTCTAACGACATGTGCCAGGACAAAATGGAACTAACACACACACACACACACACACACACAACACACACACACACACACACACACACACACACACACACACACACACGTACTCATATACAACAGGCCTAGTGTCTAATCGACATGTGCCTAGGACAAAATGGTAACTAACACACACACACACACACACACACACACACACACACACACACACACACACACACACACACACACACACACACGATGCAAAAAATCTTATGTAAATTCAATAATAAAAATGACTTCGAATTTCCACAGGACGACCTGGATAAATTGAGCAAATGGAGTGATAAACGGTGATGAAATTTGAAGTAGATAAATGCCATGTAATGGAAATAAAAGATAAATCAGGCAGCACGAAGAATATAAACTGTGATCAAATAATGAAAGTATCAGACTGAGATCCCGGGAAGGCCTTACAAAAAAATTTCAACGGAACATATAAACGAAATCATGGAAACTCGTATACCACACTGGAGAATTATAAAATATTTTTCAAATGCATATATCTATATATATGCTAAAAAAAGAAAACTGTTTACAACATGTTTTACTCCAAAATTAGAATATGCTGCGGTTGCCTGCTGCTGCCCACACATAAAAAAAATAAGAAAAAAATTCAGAAAGCTACAACATGGCTAGCAGAATGAAAAATTCTGAGTTATGATGAGAGGTTGAAAACATTAAGGAAAAAACCCATTGGCTGAGAGGAGACAAAGAGGAGACGTGATACTCACATATAAGGCCATAAAAAGATACTAAAGAATAAAGACGATTTCTCAGTACCTGGAAAACGGGACAAAAAAAAAAAAGGCCACAGCTGTAATTTGAGGAAAAGTAAAGTCGAAGGAATACTAGAAGACTGTTGTTGGTAAACAGAGTGATTGACCAAGGGAGGAATTAAAAGATCTAGTGAGTGATACAACAGTTGGAAATTTTAAAACTACACAGGTATATGAACACAGTGCTGAAGGCGGGACGTCACGAGCAAAACTGCTCCTGCAGCTACAAATAGGTAATTACAAACACACACACACACACACACACACACACACACACACACACACACACACACACACACACACACACACACTATCGTGACTGTAAGACTATCAAGGCTGGGAATGTCCCAGGAGTGTGAGTGTGGGACTTGTGAGGACTAACACCCCGAGTGAAAATGATCAGGATCCAGGAAAGAGGACAACATAATCAACACAATAAGGATGAGGTAAGAGATGTGAAGGTAGCCAGCGACCTCTGTCAGAGAGAACCAGATTTGATACACAAAGAAGAAAGGTTTGTGTAAAGACTAAATACTAGACTAAGAAGAAAAAAAATCATTCTCGGCATTATTACCCTCGGAAGGTCATTAACCCAAGAAAGTTAATCAGCACTGTTTCGGTCTTCCTTCTTAGGATGCGACCCACAACAATTTACTAACCCTTACGTATATATTTACTGCAAAGCTAAACTTGGGCAGGAAACTTAATCCACGTGCAGGATTACTTTTATGAATAACGCTAAACCTGTGTGCCTGATTCAGCGCATAAGTGGTGGAGGCTTGATCCTCCGTCCGATAAACACGAAACACATTTTTACCTATCTGTACTGAGTTACCTTCTGATAAGAGGGAAACAGACTTGCAACAATATTTGTAAACATAAATCTCAAGCCAAGGCAATGATGCATGAGTAAAACAAATAGACTTGTTGACATTACATCAAAATGTATAAATATCCCACGTCAAGACTATACTACAACTATATATTGAATATCGTTGATAAGCTGTTACGTTCACGATATAGTAGAATCTCGATTTGCAATGATAAGGTCTATCTATTACAGAATGACCATAAATGCGCTGCTAAAATAAAGAGCAGGATATCTGCTATTTACATATAATTTACGTATGTATGTATATATATATGATATATATATATATATATATATATATATATATATATATATATATATATATAATATATGTGTGTGTGTGTGGTGTGTGTGTGTGTGTGTGTGTGTGTGTGTGTGTGTGTGTGTGTGTGTGTGTGTGTGTGTGTGTGTGTGTATTACATCAGTCGTCTTCCACCGGAGAGAGAGAGAGAGAGAGAGAGAGAGAGAGAGAGAGAGAGAGAGAGAGAGAGAGAGAGAGAGAGAGAGAGAGAGAGAGAGAGAGAGAGAGAGAGAGAGAGAGAGAGCATCAGGTCAGCTACCACTCCCACAACTTATATAGTCCATCAACCTTACCTTTTCCACAACCACGTATTATATACACAAACCACTTCACACTCCACAACATAACACAATCACCTGATCAAGTAACACAACACAAATAACATTTACGTTTAAAATTCATCACACTTTATTGAAAGTTGCGTCAATCCACCTTAGTACGTGGAAAGAATAACGGTGGGCATTTCATCCATTTCCGAATTGTGGTTGTATTGTTTTCTAGACCATCATTATATCACGGAGGTAAACACACGACACGTATTGATAGATGGTCATGTTCACAAGTGTATGAGACACACACTGGTGTAGGTGCGAGGTGGGTGGCCTACCTTCACGTTGTGGCCACTTGTACAGACTACAGCTTCAGCTTGTGGCCACGGACACAGCTTCCAGAGCAGAACAAACTTTTACAAGATTTCCGACCGTCGCGGAAGTCACACCAGTCATCCAAGCGACTGAGCAGTGATAAAGAAACAGCTGAAGCGAGGAAATATTGAGTATAAAGTGTGGGGAGGAGAGATGACTGGCCAAGACTCCCACACGGAGGGGCGCACCCGGACACAACCTTCTCTCACGAAAGTTGAACACTAACTAAAGCTTCCACCTATATACACACACTCCTTAGTCTTCGTTGCCACATTCCCCTTGCCTTCACAACTTTTCTTATCAACTGGATATTACCCCACAAACAATGTAAATGATAAGACGAACTATCACAACAAAGAACGACGGTTCTCGTGCAATGTAAAACTGAGAATACTATCAAGAAGTGTTAGGTTTATTAACGTTGAGTTTCCCCTAGTAGGCACCAGGAGTGCTACAGCTGATTGTGACAGTAGAGTGTAACCCCGTTAACTGGTCCTCCGTTGACGTGTACACTACAAAACCCTTCCTAATCCCAGCCAGGACTGTTATGACATTATACATCCTTATCACATCCCTGGATAAGTAATCCAACGTTAATACCTGGGCGGGTAACCCGCACCTCACTTCCTAGACGTAATCGAGTAGTATTAAATTGTGGCATTTCCTCACGGTCTTACCAGTAGATGAATGTGGTATGGGAAACGGGACAGACTCTACTCCTCAAACCTTCTTAAGTTATATTTAATCTCAGTGCCAAATTTACACTCTAAGGGAATTTAATAAATAAATCTGCTGGGTGCGTGACCTTTGTAGGATTGGATGGTCCAGTGGATTAGAGCGTCGTGAATTTTCGCTCACCATGAGGTGGGCTAAGACAACACGGGTTCGATCTCCCGGTTAGTCGCAGTGTTGTTGATACACACACACACACACACACACACACACACACACACACACACACACACACACACACACACTCACACACACAATTATATATGCAAGCCGTCAGCCCGGGAGATTTTTTTAGGATGCTCTACCACTATAGATGGATGGTATACTGACAAACATTATTTTTTATATCTCAGCTAACGTGTGAGACTCGAGCCTATGTCCACAGCAACCCAGTCAATCCAAAATATTAGATGTTTGGGGCCCCTACCCACAGCGCCATCGATTCCCTTGACAAATCTGAGCAGTACACACCTATAGTAACACCTGGTACACACAACACCTGGTATATATGTAAATGTTATAAACCGTGGTAACAGTTACCGACAAGTTGGTTTGTGAAAACACGTAAGCAAACACTAGGACATATTGATTAGCAAATATTTCAGTCCTGGGACCTTGATGACTTCTAACATACAGAGGTTATAAAGACAGCATATATAGGCGGAGAGTGAGGTGTGAGTGACCTGAAGAATGCCATATTGGGATGAGGACGGGTAGACAATGGGATCATGTGACTCCTGTGTTGTTAGGTAGGTAGTGCTTTGCCTGGTTGAGTATCATGTATGCTAATGTTTTAGAAATTTTGTAGTTTCCAGTATTACGTTTCATGGTGTCGGTGACGGTGATTAGCGAGGCTTCCAGACATCGTCGGCGTGTAAGGTAAATGATTCAAGAGATCACTGTCCCCGCGGTCAGGTCTCAAAGCAGGCCTCTTACATTAGGAAAAAAAATATTACAGTAATAATAACAATTAAGAACGACACAATAAAGTAAATATAAATATATAACAAATGTAATCTGTAGAAGTTTATAAAATTCAGATCAGCAACCCTGCAAGAATGTAAACCAATCAGAGGCTTCCGTTTCACACTCGTATGACAGGAAGATTGACGATTGTTGTCTTCTAATCTACTATTTATCTTGTACATGTGCGTGTGAAGTACAACTCTTTTGTACCATGACAGGACTGCTGGTCTTTTTTTTCTGTTTAATGAAGACGTAACATGAGAGGTAAATCTTACACACTTCTACTTACACGTTCATATTTACTTTCCTATGTCCTTAATAGTTTTTATGTCTGCATTTTATATAAAATATATATTATATTATATAATAATATTAGTCCGTGGCAGGACTCACCTGCCATGGGTTCGCCTTCCACCCGTTCTGTGGTTTGTCTGCAATCGTGTTGTTATAATTTCGTGAGTCATGATGGCGTCTTTGAAGGAACATTAGCAAAGTTCGCCAAAGCCACTCTGGTGTAGGATTCATCTGTAAAAACCTGCATTTGTAGTCACAGTGGTGGCCCATGCTAACCTCCCTATGGTGTACAGCAATATACCTAGTTAAATTAATCTTATTTAGAACCAGCTGGCCCAGTGGTTAACACATTGGCCTGCGAGTTTTAGGATTCACTTGCCATAGGTTCAACCCCCACCCGTTCCCTGACTTACTTTTCCAATTTATGAGGCCTGGTCTGAGACCGGGTCGTTGGGGCGATGATCTGGGAAAACCTTTTAACAGATATTACCAAATACATCACAAGTTTTTAGCACTGGTTTGTATCCGAATGACGTACAGCCGAAGATATTTAAGAAAAAGAACACGTTGAAAAGCAAGCTTTCACGGCGCTGTACAGAACCTTTTCAAGTCATGACTTGATAAAAGCTATACACAGGGCGAAAGATGGTCCTAATAAACTCAAGGCTGAGGGACTTATTACCTTAATTAAACTCCTTCTGATCTTCACCATTCTTTTTTGTATTGGACTGATGAAGCCACTGTGTGGCGAAACGTTTCCTCAATAAAGATACCCAAATGCTGCACATGTGTCTAAATGATCAACTTGTGGGTTCTCTGAATCATTTATCTATATTCCTAATAAACCTTTCTCTAGAGCAGTGGGCCTCAACCTTCCTACACAAGTGGGCCACATTTGATGGTCAAATGTGTTTTGAGGGCCGCACGGTTTTGTTGCCACTGTGCAGTGTGGAACCTACATAAAAGTGAATTAATAATTTCATGTGAGGGCCGCAGTCATTTTTTAAAAGGGCCACATGCGACCCGCGGGCCGCAGGTTGGGAACGCCTGCTCTAGAGGGTCGGAGCACGCAATATGAGGAAGTACTGAAGTCTCTCCTGAACAGTTAAGCGCTGCGTGACAAGGGAAGATGGAAATAAATGGTATAAAATACCGACACAATGGAAAAGTAAACACATAAGCAGTATAATGTGATAATTTATTGACAACGTTTCGCCCACACAGTGGACTTTATCATTGTCTTGTCTGTTAGGTAAGACACATATGCAACAGTTAGGTATCTTTATTTCGAAACGTTTCGCCTACACAGTAGGCTTCTTCAGTCGAGTACAGAAAAGTTGATAGAAGCAGAAGATACTTGAAGACGATGTAATCAGTCCATCACCCTTAAAGTTTTGAGGTGGTCAGTCCCTCAGTCTGGAGAAGAGCATTGTTCCGTTGTCTGAAACAATATGAAGTTGAAGTGACAGGATGGAGCCTTTATATAGTGCCAGGAGGTGAGACGTAGGTTGCTTTGGGAGGGCAGGTCCCTCTCAAACCCAGCCGTTCTCACTAGTAGAGGTCGAAGTTGATGGTCTGTACCAAGATACCCTTGTGTTGCAGTGTCTGACAGAATGAACATTAAAAATGGTATAAAATACCGACAGATTGTTAGGTAAGACACATATGCAACAGACTGAGGGACTGACCACCTCAAAACTTTAAGGGTGATGGACTGATTACATCGTCTTCAAGTATCTTCTGCTTCTATCAACTTTTCTGTACTCGACTGAAGAAGCCTACTGTGTAGGCGAAACGTTTCGAAATAAAGATACCTAACTGTTGCATATGTGTCTTACCTAACAATCTGTCGGTATTTTATACCATTTTAATGTTCATTCTGTCAGACACTGCAACACAAGGGTATCTTGGTACAGACCATCAACTTCGACCTCTACTAGTGAAGAACGGCTGGTTTGAGAGGGACCTGCCCTCCCCAAAGCAACCTACGTCTCACTCCTGGCACTATATAAGGCTCCATCCTGTCACTTCAACTTCATATTGTTTCAGACAACGGAACAATGCTCTTCTCCAGACTGAGGGACTGACCACCTCAAAACTTTAAGGGTGATGGACCTGATTACATCGTCTTCAAGTATCTTCTGCTTCTATCAACTTTTCTGTACTCGACTGAAGAAGCCTACTGTGTAGGCGAAACGTTTCGAAATAAAGATACCTAACTGTTGCATATGTGTCTTACCTAACAATCTGTCGGTATTTTATACCATTTAATGTTCATTCTGTCAGACACTGCAACACAAGGGTATCTTTGGTACAGACCATCAACTTCGACCTCTACTAGTGAGAACGGCTGGGTTTGAGAGGGACCTGCCCTCCCAAAGCAACCTACGTCTCACCTCCTGGCACTATATAAAGGCTCCATCCTGTCACTTCAACTTCATATTGTTTCAGACAACGGAACAATGCTCTTCTCCAGACTGAGGGACTGACCACCTCAAAACTTTAAGGGGGATGGACTGATTACATCGTCTTCAAGTATCTTCTGCTTCTATCAACTTTTCTGTACTCGACTGAAGAAGCCTACTGTGTAGGCGAAACGTTTCGAAATAAAGATACCTAACTGTTGCATATGTGTCTTACCTAACAATCTGTCGGTATTTTATACCATTTTAATGTTCATTCTGTCAGACACTGCAACACAAGGGTATCTTGGTACAGACCATCAACTTCGACCTCTACTAGTGAGAACGGCTGGTTTGAGAGGGACCTGCCCCCCAAAGCAACTAGTCTCACCCTGGCACTATATAAAGGCTCCATCCTGTCACTTCAACTTCATATTGTTTCAGACAACGGAACAATGTCTTCTCCAGACTGAGGGACTGACCACCTCAAAACTTTAAGGGTGATGGACTGATTACATCGTCTTCAAGTATCTTCTGCTTCTATCAACTTTTCTGTACTCGACTGAAGAAGCCTACTGTGTAGGCGAAACGTTTCGAAATAAAGATACCTAACTGTTGCATATGTGTCTTACCTAACAATCTGTCGGTATTTTATACCATTTTAATGTTCATTCTGTCAGACACTGCAACACAAGGGTATCTTGGTACAGACCATCAACTTCGACCTCTACTAGTGAGAACGGCTGGGTTTGAGAGGGACTTGCCCTCATAAAGCAACCTACGTCTCACCTCCTGGCACTATATAAAGGCTCCATCCTGTCACTTCAACTTCATATTGTTTTCAGACAACGGAACAATGCTCTTCTCCAGACTGAGGGACTGACCACCTCAAAACTTTAAGGGTGATGGACTGATTACATCGTCTTCAAGTATCTTCTGCTTCTATCAACTTTTCTGTACTCGACTGAAGAAGCCTACTGTGTAGGCGAAACGTTTCGAAATAAAGATAACCTAACTGTTGCATATGTGTCTTACCTAACAATCTGTCGGTATTTTATACCATTTTAATGTTCATTCTGTCAGACACTGCAACACAAGGGTATCATTGGTACAGACCATCAACTTCGACCTCTACTAGTGAGAACGGCTGGGTTTGAGAGGGACCTGCCCTCCCAAAGCAACCTACGTCTCACCTCCTGGCACTATATAAAGGCTCCATCCTGTCACTTCAACTTCATATTGTTTCAGACAACGGAACAATGCTCTTCTCCAGACTGAGGGACTGACCACCTCAAAACTTTAAGGGTGATGGACTGATTACATCGTCTTCAAGTATCTTCTGCTTCTATCAACTTTTCTGTACTCGACTGAAGAAGCCTACTGTGTAGGCGAAACGTTTCGAAATAAAGATACCTAACTGTTGCATATGTGTCTTACCTAACAATCTGTCGGTATTTTATACCATTTTAATGTTCATTGTCTTGTCTGTGAGATAGAAAGGGGTCTCAGCCCCATGATGGTGATAATTTCTCCACATAATTGATAAAGCTCTACACAGAGCGAAACGTTACCCCAGCAGGTTCTTCAGCAACCCTTGTCCTTGTTATACTTTTCTTGGGCTATGAGGTATGGAGCGGAACTTGTGGTAGCAAGGCCGCTACCTTCGTACATCCACTGTTACATACCAATCACTTTTTGTTGTTGAATTATACTGTAGTGTACGAATATGTTTTACCAAATACTTGAATACTTGCAGAAGGACAGAAGTTCTCTTGTACAGGCTATGACACCCAGCAGAATGTGCTCTTCGACAGGCTATGGCACCCAGCACAATGTGTTCTTGCACAGGCTATGACACCCAGCACAATGTGTTCTTGCACAGGCTATGACACCCAGCACAATGTGCTCTTCGACAGGCTATGACACCCAGCACAATGTGTTCTTGCACAGGCTATGACACCCAGCAGAATGTGTCCTTGCACAGGCTATGACACTCAGCACAATGTGTTCTTGTACAGGCTATGACACCCAGCACAATGTGTCCTTGCACAGGCTATGACACTCAGCACAATGTGTTCTTGCACAGGCTATGACACCCAGCACAATGTGTCCTTGCACAGGCTATGACACTCAGCACAATGTGCTCTTGTACAGGCTATGACACCCAGCACAATGTGTCCTTGCACAGGCTATGACACCCAGCAGAATGTGTCCTTGCACAGGCTATGACACCCAGCAGAATGTGTCCTTGCACAGGCTATGACACCCAGCACAATGTGTCCTTGCACAGGCTATGACACCCAGCACAATGTGCTCTTGCACAGGCTATGACACCCAGCACAATGTGTTCTTGCACAGGCTATGACACCCAGCAGAATGTGTCCTTGCACAGGCTATGACACCCAGCACAATGTGCTCTTGCACAGGCTATGACACTCAGCACAATGTGCTCTTGCACAGGCTATGACACCCAGCACAATGTGTCCTTGCACAGGCTATGACACTCAGCACAATGTGTTCTTGCACAGGCTATGACACTCAGCACAATGTGTCCTTGCACAGGCTATGACACTCAGCACAATGTGTTCTTGCACAGGCTATGACACTCAGCACAATGTGTTCTTGCACAGGATGACACCCAGCACAATGTGTTCTTGCACAGGATGACACCCAGCACAATGTGTTCTTGCACAGGATGACACCCAGCACAATGTGTTCTTGCACAGGCTATGACACTCAGCACAATGTGTTCTTGCACAGGCTATGACACTCAGCACAATGTG